GGAAAGAGCTCAGTGCCGTGATGTTCCGGTCACAGGACCCAACTAACAGATAATAAAATGATAATAATAATAAAACTTTACTTACATTCATAGCAATTTTTTTTTTCTGGTCTAATTACCAACAAACTAAGTTTTGCTTTGTGTCATAGAAAAATATTTATTTTTTTTTGTATGAAAATATGACAATTCCACCACAAAAGCAAATCTTGGAACATATTCCCTTTACAACCATGACGTTTCTCACTGCTTCCACTGGGAATAAACTAGTTTCTCTGTGGCAGGGAAGACTATTTCTTGCATAGAAAAGTAATAGCACAAAATTATTGACTGTACACTTGTGTTTTTGAAATTTAATAGTTAAAAACAGGGAGTATTCTTACGAACACTGAATTAGAAAATTCTCCCTGGCTTATCAGCAAGAGCCACAAATTTATGAACAAAAACGCACCAAACTCATCACTTTCCAGTCTCAGATAAAAACGTTAGGTGCCTTTTGAGGCACTTGCCTTGAGTTTCTCTTTAATTTTGAAAGATATTTCATGGCTTCAATACACAGTACTGTTAGTCAGAAATCACACCTCTTTCCACTCTTGTCTTACCTCACAGTAGACGCGGATGTTAGCCAAAATCTACAGCAGAGACCAGACCTAAAACACTATTATTATGATCTGTACTTCATCTCATACATGCAGTCATACAAGGACATATTCAAAACCTGAACAATGTCATGGGCAACCTACTCTAGCTGACCCTTTTCATGGCAGGGATGTTGGCCTACACTATCTCCAGAGGTCCTTTGTAATCTCAGCTATTCTGTAATTCTGTGATTGGATGATGACTGAAGCCAGACCAGGAAGTCAGTGGTTTTTTTCCTAAACCATAATTTAAGGCTGTTTAGGTGATTGCCAGGAAACCTGAGGCAAGAACTGAGCTCAGGGGAGAGACCTGAAGTATGGTGTGGGAGGAAGAAAGGAAGGGGGAGAGTTCCAGGCACTGGGGATGGAAGAGACTTGGGACATACTTTAACATAATCTTTTGCCCATGTGCGACCCCTTTCATGGTCATGCTTGGCTTGCAGTTCCATTCCTGAGGACAGCTAGGAAAAAAACCATTAATAGCACGAGTAGTTTCCACCTCCCTAAAGAATGATAGCCCTCTCTGGCTGACCTCTGCAACAGGCTTGTCAGCTAGGAAAGGGCTCTGTGCACTCAACCAGCAGCTTATGGTTGTGCTTCTTCCCTAGGAGGCATGCTCACTGGAGTCCCCAGATGCCATTCCCAGCAGCCCCATTGCCTAATATGGTGCTCTGTCAAGGCATTGTCAGGCTGGCAGTGGAGGGAGTTTTGCCTCCAGCATGCGCTCTTCAGCCCCTTAGAAGAAGTGTTCTTCACTGGGTTGTAAATGCCTCTTGAGCTACAGCGTAAAGAGGCCATTGAAGGTCCAGCTACTGCTAGATTGATACCATAATGCCAGCTGGGCCTTCTACTAAGTAACTGAAGTTGAATTCTACCTTACAGTTTCTAAGACGAAAAGTAATGGTCTCTTCTTTGCATTTCTTTAAGAAGCCAAGAATGTTGCATTTCAGTGGGTTGTGTCATGCTCAACACAGACCTTGGGTTATTCATTGGTTGTGAAACTTATAAAGCAGCTGGTGATATCTAATTCTGCTTCAAGAAGATGAATCAATTTAGCAGTCTTTTCTACATGGCTACTCAGAAAGAGTATTATATTAAGTGTAGTTAGCAAATAAAGTGAAAGCACAACTGTCACTTAGATAACATCTCCAGAAATGCTTTCATGCCTCAGCAATGTCATGAGATGCATTCAAGATTCAGTTTGACATAGGATATGAATACTTAGAGCCAAGGCATTTTTATTTGTGATTTATAATTGTACATGCACACATACACTCTTGAAAATCAGCAGGAGATGCAACTTGACCCATTACCAACAACTTTCCATCACTGTTCCACATTTACTGTGTTCAGTTTTTCAGATAAAATAGGACTTAAAATCTCTACCTATGCATATAGATAACTAAGCTTTAAAAACTTCCGTGAGATTATCCATGTGCTAAAGTTATGGAAATGCTTAAGAACCATGTTATATTTGGACTATATTTATTTAGAATTTCAATTCCATTTTAGGTCTGGGTGCACTGACATCCAACCTGCAATAACCACAAGAAGTTCTGGCAGGGAACTGGCAGCACTATTATATACGGGGGCCAGTTTTCAAGGGCTCTATATTCCCACTTCCACTGGCTTCTGACAGTGGCAAGCATAGAAACTTCCTGACATCATATATATTACCTTTCACATTGGAGTGTAAACATAGTGAGGCATGTTTGACAGTTCTAAAATAGTCTCTAGGTTCTGCTCTACTACTGTGCTGGGAACAAAGTACTCCAGAGACTTGCAGTTCAGATGATTCAAGAGCTACAGGCTACCAGCAAACATACCGGGAAAGACTGCATAACCCGTATCATCTTGAGACTCCGTACTGATGACCAGGTTTGTTTTGGGTATGCTTAGAAACCCTCAATGATACTGGAAAATGAGTAGAGAAGGTTTTTTTTTTTTCCCCTTAGGTGAAGGGAATGACCTTGAGTATTAAATCTGGGTTTGCACAAAGTCTAAAAATAGTATTTCACCATCACTGGGCTGGAACATACACAAGAGGGAGGAGGAAAGTCTCCTACCCTAATTTCTTCCTGCAGTTAGACAGAGGTTGGTTACAACTCAGCAAAGATTCGGGCCTGATCAGCCAGGGGATTCAGGATCTCATCCAGTCTGACCAGAGGGCTTACTGCCATCTACCTGAAAGGGAAACCAGGACTATAGCTGCCTCATCACGGCTACAGGTGTGATATCTCTCTGTGTAACAGCAGCACACTAAAGTGACTTCCATATGTCAAAGAGCATGAAGATGGTTACTTAATGCTTTTTGTCACAAAGACCTGTCAACTTCTGTCAAATATAAGTAGGTGGATTAAGCTTGTGGGCATAGCCTCAAGGGATCAGACAAATATAACTATTACATAAGCATTCCTGAAGTGCTGACTCTGCTAGTCAGAGAAAAATAGACAAAATGATAGTTTGGGGAGAGATCATGGCTCACTCCAGCCCTTGTGCAGTTGTCATGTGTGAGGATTGTCCCCTGTGTGTGGTCCCTACAGGTCATGAGAACTGCCATTGTGGCACGTGACTTTCTCCTGGGATAGATGCTCCACAGAAATAGATGGGCAGGGAAGGAC